TTATCAGCTATGTGATGTGGGGCTGCAGGTCCCTCCCACTATCCAGTTACCAGGAATTTTCCAGTAAGTGAGATCCTGTAAGGAGGTGTCAGTGATAAAAGCCAACCTGAGAAGAACCCTCTCAGCATCAGCCCTGAGCACACTAATAAATCATTTAGCCCAGCACCTTCTAAATAACAGCCCCAAAGCACCAGTATTTACATAAGTTTCCCCAGCTTGTACACAGACGGTCTCCAACCGCTTATGCTATGCAAGAGCTCGCAGCATGAGCAACAAGTGCCTGGAATGGGGGAATGGCTGAGGTTATTCACAGGGACAGTTTGCAAGCTTAGCTTCCAGTACTGAACAGTGCAAAATAAAGCAGAGTATTTCTGACGAGTCTGGGAATTCTGACCCATTTCTAAAAGAGCATCTGTTTGTTCTGAGCACCAAAACCTCAGACAAGCACAGGGAAAACCTTCTTGCGAAAGCAGAGCGATGGAAAGCTTTCAAACCCTTTAAAATTCCCAAGATCCTTTAAAATTCCTGAGCAGTGGTATCAAGCGGGACAGTTGCCTCGGCACTCTCCCGGATGACCGGCTGTGCTGGCTGTGGCACTGCTGGCATAACTGACCCACCAGCCAAATGAGCAGAAATGGCAAACTTCACAGGTGATGCCTTGCGTCCTCCCACCAGGCAAACAGAAGACACGGGGGAAGCAGCTCAGCCTTGTTCACTTGTCTGCCCTTTGGTCCCAAGTGAGATGATTTCACTTTGCAAGCATTGCTGAGTGTGAATAGCTGGTCCACGCTCTCACTTTCCCCCGCAAAGGAGCTTTTTTAGGTAATCTTTTTTAAGCCATGCATTGATATGAGGCAGTCCTGTCACATGAGATGACTGCACAGCTGGGGCTCTGACACCGTCCTGTGCTGAAGGCTTCAGGTGCAGCACTAGGCTGGAAATCCTTCCTGATTTCTAATGCTTTCCATGAACAAGGCAATGGCAAAAAGAATTAAACAAAACAAAAGAAAAAAAAAAAAAGGGGAAAAAATAATAAGAGGCAATAAACAATTCCAGACAGCTGCTTTGGAGGTGTCTTTGGGGACAAGCTTGAGTTTATCAGGGGATGCTTGCAAACTGGTCAGACATCATTGGGCCTTCTTTTTCTCTGTATTATCTCCCATTTTCTACCAAGCTGTGCTCCTGCAAGTGCTTCAAGAGGCTGAAATCTCACATGGTCAGGGTCCTACTGCCTGTGGGATAAGGACAGACATCCATCCCTGCCTGCATCACACCATACTGACATCTGCCACCCACATGCAGCTATGACCATTGCTGCCACAAAGCAGGAGCATCCTCCGCCTCAGCAAGCTGTACCAGCAGGAGTGTGGAGCACATCTCAGCATGATGGTCCCTCAGCAGAGACCACTTTTCAGCCTCCACTGACATTTTCAGATCCCAGATGGATGCAAGTTAGGATTTAATTCTACCCAACAGCCTTGTGATAAAAAGAAGCTTAAAACTTGGAAGAATATACTAATTTAAAAGTCATAACAAGGAAGACTGTGTAACGCACCAGCTCCATGGAGTACAGTACAGCAGCATCCCCAGCCTGAAACAATACTGCCAGATGCCACTACGACCATGTTGGGTTGTCCAGGACACATGTGAATTTCCTTGGGAGTCTTCCTTGGCCTTGCCCCCCTTTTTTCCAAGGCACCCATCCCCCTGGCTTGCACCTGTATCCCCAGTCAGCTCTCTAAAGCTGGAGCATTCCTGGGGGACTGGGGGAAGAGAAAAGACCTGTGCTCCCTTGGCTCTCTCCTATGCTCAGACATGCAGTCTGCTCTCCTTGGATAAGTTCCTTGAGACAGCAGAGCCACCATGAACATGAGGCCAGTGAGTCACAGGGAAGTGAAGGGAGGAAGGTGCTGTATAGAGGTACACAGCACATGTAGCTTCCAAGGAGACCAACACAGGAGAGAGACCATGGGATTCCTGATACCCCTTCTATGGTGCAGCCTCTGCCATCAGGTAAAGTTGCGGTGCCCAGAAGGATTAGATCACTGTGGAAATCAGAGTTGACAAAGCAGGCATCCCTGCCCTAAAACACGGATTCCTTGTCCCAGAGTTGAACAGGGAGGAGACGGAGATTCAGGAGGGAAGTTGAGTCTGGGAAGAAAGAAGGGGTGGGTGGAAGGTGTTTTAAGATTTGTATTTTATTTCTCATTACCCCACTCTGATTTTATTGGTAACAAATTAAACTGATTTCCCCAAGTTGAGTCTGTTTTGCTCATGACTGTAATTGGTGAGTTTATCTCTCCCTGACCTTAGCTCGATCCATGAGCTTTTTGTTGCATTTCCTATCCCCTGTTCAGCTAAGGGGGAGTGATAGAGCAGCTTTGGTGGGCACCTGATGTTCAACTAGGCTCAACCTACCACGTCTGCTGACCATGCATATCTTAAGAAGCAAGGATCTCTCTAGCCTCCACCTACTATTCAGCCTGCTCACTCAGCAGGAGGACATTTCTGGAGCAGGGCTTTCCAAAGCATGCACCAGGGAAATGGACAGTGAAACATGCAGGTCAAAGTGAGCAGCTGATACAGTGACCCAAATGCAAAATGATCTGGCACAATCTGTTCCACATCAGTGCATGCTGCATGGATGGGCCTCCCCACCAAGGGCCACATCCTGACAAAGCTCCCCTTTCCCTTATACTGAAACTTTAAAACTGAAAAGCAGCTGCAAGGCTTGGTCCATACCTCTAAAATATAGCTATGGGAAGAGCAGCACCTCTAGTAAGAGCAGAGGTCCACTAAACCACAGCTGTGACTTAAAGAGTATAGAAAAAGACACAGGTAAAGCATAGCAAGCCATTGTGACACAGCATCCCAGCTTCACCAGTTTGGAGATTTCCTGCATCAGAGGTTATATCTGAGCAATTGTCTGGACGTACAGCTTACACCCTCCATGGAGGAGCAATCGTCAGGGAAAGCAATCTTCTGCTACTGCGCTGAAGAGTAGGAGGATGAGGAGGAGAATGCAATCACTTCTGCTGGCAGCTGAAGTCTGTGCACGAGTCTGTACTTGCTAGGTTAAGCCAGGCTGGGGAGGAAGAAGGCTTCCTGCATCTGTTTGTCCCCTTGGTTCAGCATGTGCATGGCTTCACAGGCAGGGTTGGATCTATGAGGATTGAGATTTGGTTTCAATTGTGTCTTTAAGATGCTGTAACAAAGAGGTGTGAGCATATTGGTTTGAGATCTGACTATCTAATAGAGCAACCAAAACTGAAACTGCTATAATTAACCACTGTGTAACAGAGATCTCAGCTCATCATCATGGTACTTTTTACACTAGGGCGCTATCTGCATGTAAATCATGAGAGTATTTGTTTAAAAGGCATCAATCCTAGCACTTGATTTGCTCTAGTAACACATTCTGGAAGGCAAATTTCTATTTATTTATAGACAACCAAAATGAAAATATTTTCACAGGCTTAGAAAACAAAAAACAGTCACAGGAAAAGCATTTGTGATGGAAAGTTACTGTCCTCTCACTGGGACTACTCAGCCTGTGAGAAGAGAAGGAAAGGGGAGAGCAGGGATATATATATATGCATGTATATATGCATTTACTGAGATATATAGTGTGGGTGTGTTTCTATATGTATATTTATAGAGAGAATCAAGAATCATAATCTCACAGGAAGCCATTATGAGTATTTTTAGTTAACATGAGAAGAAGGCTTAGGCTAGAAGAGGGCTATGTGTGCTCCACAAATATGCACGTCTTTGCTGGGAGCTGGAGGCCTGGATATTAGTAATTTTGGTGATGGCACCAGTGAAAGACGAATAAAAACCCCACAGGTCCCAGGACCCATCACCATAGGTCTTAGCACATGTCCTGAAGACATGGAGGGCAGTGGAGTATGGATAGGGTGTGGGGGAACCCAGGCACTCCACCAGCTTTCCCAAGGGAAACCTTCAGGGGAGATATGGACTCCACAGGAGCCTTATACACTGCACTCTGTGTTTGTGAAAGCAATTGTAAGGTCAGTTGTAATATTTGTCTTCTTTCCTTGTAATAAAGAGCAATCGTGAGAGAGAGAGGATATCTCATTCAGACTTCTTTGCTCTGCTACACCCAGTATTTCCCCAGCTTTGGCTGAGCCGGTCCAAAAAGCACCAGCCCCAACGTCCTTCCCTCTCCACCTGCCCCAAGGGCTCATCATCTCTGTAAGAAATGTTGTTGTCACCTTGCATCCTAAAAAGTCAGATCTAAAACCATGGTGCTTTTATAGATAAAAGGGAGGCCCATTGAATAAAACCCATTAGAGACCAGGCAGATGCTCGGTGACCACGTGTGAGCACGTACACCATGCCACCTGCTTGAGTGGATGAGCAGCTGGCAGTGAGGCAAACCTCACATGCAGTGATGCCATCCAACTTGTGGAGAACAAAACCCTCCACCACCTCTTCCAGAGGAAAAAAAGCCTTGAACAAACCAGCCCTGGGGCCATTTCAGCCAGTGACAAAGCTAACAGGCAAATCAAACAGAGCAAGAGCCCAGCAGACCTCAATCGGCTGAACAAACAAACAGAGAAACTCAGGTTCCAAAGAGCAGGGGAGCTGCGTTATGAAACAAGATTTCTGGTACAAAAGGAAGCTTACAGCTATCTCTGGTGATTAGACAGGGAAGAGAAAGGTCACTGTGGGTGTCAGACCACACTTCACACACACAGAGGTTATTCAATCAATATTTGTCCTGGAATCACATGTGGTGGAAAAATTTTGAAGTGAATGGTCAGCAGAATTTAATGCTCGTATTCATTCATGTGCTCTTGGACACACATGTGTTTTTAAATCTAGCACAACCTAAGCTTCATAATCCAGCAAGTTCTTAACTAAAATATGGGAAAATCTTGGAATTAAACACTGTATTTGTATACATCTTTCTATTACATCTTCATCAGGATGGGGACTCCTCACCTATGATTTTTAGAAGGGAGAGAGAAGGATTTTAGAAGGTGGGAGATTATTTGAATCTCTACCTTCTGGACCTAACAGGAAAAATAATTTAGTTAAGACTCCATAAAAACAACTCCATCCACAGAAACCTCTCCAGAGCAGAAGGGAGGGATTTGTTCCTGCCATTGCTGTTTTCTCTGGCCACGCTGCTGCGCTGGCATTAGAGGTTTTATTTAGGGTCACAGAAATAACAGCAGGAAGATATAATCCTCTGATGAACAGACAGCTGTTACCCCCTGCCTTTGTGAAAATGATGATCTCAGGATGAGCATATTGTTGCCTTGAATCATCATATTTTTTTATCCCCCCATGAGTTTGCCACAACAGATTGTTTGCTTATGTTCAGATCATAAGGTCCTGACTCAATTTTTCCCTCCCCTAACAAGAGTTAAGGGAAATTTGACCGTAGGGTCCCTAACCATGGACTTTAGAATTTGGCTGCAAATAATGATTATTAAAACACAAACAAAACAGAATAAAAGCAGACAAACCCCAACCCTCTTGCCTAGTGACTTCATGACAAAACAGGAATAAGGCATAGCACAACATCCAGTTCACTTCAGGTTGCGATACAGCTGATGTATAGCATTTGGATAACTTATCACAGGGCAGGATACTTTTAAGCCCTTAAATAGTGGGTATTAATGCTCCATAGGATTGCATAGGGGTTAATTTCAGCTGCATAGGAGATAGATAGCCTGGGAGAGGAGATCCCCATTCAACAGCACAGAGAGTTACAGAACAGAGGCAGATACAGAGGCAGGGTGGCTGCTTCAAGGCAGAAGCTTTCAGTGAGAAGTTTGTTTTAATAGCATAGCTGGAAATTCACTGGAAAAAACAGCTCCATCAGCCCTGGTCAGGAAGAGTGGGGCAGAGATTATGTTCCTCTGGCAGCCTGTCCTGCTGAAGCACCCATGCTCCAGCACAAGACAAAGCATCGCCATGTCCCATGTCCCATGTGCTTTCCTCCTCATGCAGCTAATGCGAAAGGAAAAAACAGCCCCTAAGTTGTTCACGCTGTGTTTTAAAGAATCTTTAGATAGCTTTGATGGACTTCAGCCTGCAGAAATCATCAGTTGCGCAGGCAATGCTGCTCTCCTTCCAGAGGAGATGCTGCAGGAGGGCAGAGGGTTGAGCACGGAGCACTACCCACGTCAGGGACCACATCCATGTCTAGGGGAAAGTCTCTTTGTCCACATGGTGGGTGGAAAACCAGCAAACCCCACGCCAACGGGGGCTGACATAGCACCATCCTGGTGCAGTCATGGAAAAATCAGTCCTGCTTCTATTGCAAACCATTTCTCTTCCACCTGCGCACCTCCTCCCCTGTAAAACCACTCACTCCCAGGGCAATGCTGACCCACGCCGCTATTGTTTGGGGAGAGGAAACTCCCTGTTCAAAGTGGGACACCCTGGCAGGAAACAGGGTTTATCCTGCAAATGGTGAACAGAGCTGGCACATTTCACACAGGGAGATGCTCTCTCTAGGTTTCATCCACACCAGGCTATTGTATTTACATTTAATAACACAACACTTGCAAGGGAACATTCAAAGTGGAGAGGGAAAAGAAATATCCCCCATGAACATGATGTGCCCCTTTCAGAGCTCTGGCCCTCAGTCTGTTTGGCACTGAGCATTACCGTGTCCTGCCTCACCGGGTCCTCGGCTCTGAACTGAGGCACAACTGCACAGATTTGGGCACAATTAAAATGATTTTTCATGGGAGTTGCCTTTAATGCTCTGTAATGTATTTCCTTAAATAGCCACATATTTGGCCTAAAATTACTTGGCGTGATGCCCTTTAAAAATATCCACTTTGGAAACAATTGCATACTGAATTGAGCATTTGAAGTTCTGGGACAAATGACCTTACCTGCATTTATCATCTTACCTTTATGGGCTATCGTCCTCCTGCTTTTCTCTGCAGTTCAGGTATGCCTTGTACAGAACAGTAAGAGCAACATACTCCCCACCTATCTCATTCTGGTTGGCAGGCAAATACTAAAGGCTCAAGACCAGCAGATGGCTTTTCAAACAAATTCACATCTACAAAGGAGCAGCAAATTCAAGCCTACAAAGGATTAACAAACCCATGTTTTCACCATGTGGTTCTCCTGTGAGCTATTAAGGGTTCTACAGACAGAAACTGCAAAATGCTGTTCCCAAGGGCACAGTATGCTTCATGATGTATTATCAGATATTACATCTAGTCCACTGAAATGCTGATTAGCTGTCAGTTTAAGATTCCTGTACCTCCTTAAGAACAAAAATAGGGAGAAGCGACAGTGTGCCATTGCTGTTTGGAGCAGCACAAAATTTAAACCAGGAATTGTCTTCAGATTAGAAAGTGGAATTCAACATTAATTGAAGTTCTGCAATTTTTAAACTGCTCTCTACAACCTGTTCCTCTTCACTTATTTTTCTCACAAACATGCTTTCTACCCCTAATAATTCACAAGTAAAACTGTATGGGGATGTGGGACATTGGGGACCCTTGCGAGCTGCTGAGATGGCCCATAACACTAGTACTGCATGAAGCAGTGCAGGCAACAGATCTCTTTTGAAATGTGCTTTCTCAACACCAAGTGTCAATGCCACCATATTACCACCAAGACCTTTTCTTGGAGTTTTTTACTGGTGCCTTAAATCTAAAGGTGTCTTAAGCATTTTTAGGATTTCTTCTTAGGGCCAACTCACCACCATCTGCCCTAATGATGACAGGGGAAACGGCACACACAAATGGTCCCTATGCCTTTAGCATGTGGATGTCTCACCCTAGCCACCCTCTGTACCTCAAGCGAGGAAGCAAGGGGACTTGTACAGATGTTAGGGCATCAGAATGGGAAGACAGCACTATAACAGCAGGGACAAGATAGGAATGAACCTGCACTGAGAACAGAGCTACAGAAGACATTTTAGCAGGGTTTACAGGAAAGATAAGACCAGGACTGGAAGATACAGCTCCAGCACCCTTGTTTCATTTCTTTCCTCTAGAAAACTGGTATTTATGGACTTGTAGTACCAGATGGGACTACCCTTGAGGTTTTACTTACATCTGTACTGTTGTTGTACAGCACGTCTGACTCCACTTCCCACAATTTACAATCCTGCCTTGGAATTTGAGTCCGAGCCTTCCTGCAATTTCCAGTCCATTCATTCATTACCTGCTGGCAGAAAACCTCAGGTTATGGTCCATCTCCTTCATATGTTATGGGCATGACAGCCAGTTTGATGGTGATTTTAACAGCTTGGAGTTAAAAATAAAGCACATTTGATCAGCTTCAGTTAGGGGAATGAACACTCAGAATATTGATTCAAAGACATCTTTGGCTAGCTGCAGCAGTCTGATTTCTGACTGACTGGTCAGCTCAATGCTTTTCTTCCTCATTCTTTTTTTTCAAGGCATACTCAAGAGAGCTTTGAAGTTCCAGGGTTTTGTTCTGTAAGCATTGTTCCTGCTGCATGTTAACATTAAAGCAACGTAAACCCCTTACAATATACACAACAAGACTTTGTTTTTTCAGGGGAGATACGCATTTAAGGCAAATGTTAATATAAAGCAAGATTCTGATATGCTCCATCACAAAGAATAGTACTTTAATCCAGCAGTAGTCCTATTAAAGCCTTTGGGATTACTCCTGTGATACGGTGATTTTCAAAAGGGTTATCATCATTAGAGTGCAGCTCTGGGAAGTAACATCATGGTTGCAAGGAGGGTGCAAACAGGTTTTTGCTACCAAGTATCTACTAGTCAGTCCTAAAGATGGTTTGAACACAGCTGATTGCATCTTGCTTCATTGGAAGAGTAAAATAGAACCCTTTCAATGAGTTTTGAAAATGAGTGAATTTAGTCCAAATATTGCAGAATATTTGATATCTACAGAATATTTAGTTTTGTGCTAAACCCCAAGTTTTTAGCCAGGATTCACCTACTCTTGCCTAGAAGCCTCTTGCTTTGAGGCAGCTTGTTCCCATAGGAACACAGTCACACTGACACCATGGAGATGGCTAAATCATTTCCAAAACCAGCAGAATAATTTTGCTATGTATTCCTTTTATTGCTCTAGTTTGAGCATATGTATTACGTCTCATTATATCTAATTGCATTACATCCCCACAGGGCAAAGTGAAATATATGTATATATGTACATACATACACACACACACAGCATACACACACAGCCAAAATCTTGTTAGTAAGTTTGCTTTCTGGCCCCTAAGTTTTATTTTGCAAGAAGTTTTAGAATGAATCTGTCAGACTCTTTCCAGCTCTTATTTCTTCACAGCTAGCTTAAAGGGTTTATCCTTTCCTTGGGGCTCAAGTAGGCTTGAATTTTAGCCTTTTGATTTCAATGCCATCTCTCTTGCCTTGCTTTAGAAGACTACACTTGAATGCTTCATTTATTTAAACAGCCTCATTGATCTCAATGTGAAGATTATTGCACCGAGGTGCTATTCAATTTGAGCAGACAGCAGAAGACTTTGGATCTGTCTTGCCAGGGAATTACCTTTCGGTTTATGTCATTTCCATTTCCTGCTTAGAAGACTTTCCTGCCAAAACATTGAGAGGAGAAATGTATCCTGTTTAGACCGATTCTTAGCAGCTTTAATGTCTACGGGGTTCTATAAATATGCATGTGACAAGTTATGTTTATTCAGGATAGTGTCGAGCTGCTGGTTTTCCCCCAGTGGCAGGAAGCTGCTCCCCACCCCATGTGCAGGCAGTTGTCCTGGCAGACCCCAGTGTAGAGTTGGGGCACTCATGGCCATTCCACTGCAGGTGAATTTGCTGTTCTTTGATTAGGGGGCTGGAGTCTCTCCCCTCCTGGCATAAAGTCAAGCAGGAGGACTTGGGAAGCACAGACAGTAGTCCCACATCAGCACTATGGCAGTGACCCAGGGCTGCAGGGAGCCATGAAGGACCTCTGGAGTGGTAGGAAGTCCACAGCGTGACCCAGCACTGTGGCTGGGCTCACATCAGTATCGGAGGTGTGCAGCCTTTGGCAGCTCAGAGGTTTTTGGGAATAGGACCTGCAAGCCATCCTCCTCCCACCCAGCCTGCAGCAGAGGCTGGCCCCATATGCCCTGCCACAAAGCTTGCCATCATTTTGCCTTCCTTCTCAACAGTTTGGTCGCTTGTGCCAGTGTTTTGGCCACCCTGGGACTGACGGGTTATTACACTGCAAATTTGCCAGTGGCAAATATTTACCTGGAAGTATTGCTTGGAGGTTTCAGAGCTGTGCCCTATCCTGGGTGAAAGGAGAAGTGGCTATAGACCTCACAGACCCCTGAGCAACCTGGGAGCACACAGCCTGAATGAAGCAAATGCAAATTACCTGAGCATCATTTAGGTTATATAAAGCATGCTTATAACCAGAGAGGGGTCTTGGAACATTTACAACCAATCATGCCACTTGGGCAGCCAGCATAATGGGTGGATATGTTTTGGATTGGATTTTCACACTTCCTGGTAGCTGCTGCTCATAGTTTATGCACATAAAGCATTATAAATAGGACTTGGAAATAATACATGAGGTGGCCCACGGTGACAGGACACAAGGGTGCAGGCAGAGGTTTTATTTCTCTCCATGGCTGCCAGCTTTCCACAACAGCCTGCGATAAGTACTGGCCACTGAGGATCTAGCGAAGTTAAAAGGGATCTGAAACCTTCCTTGAAATTTCCGAGTGAACCAAGTGTGGCGCTCACAGGATATCACATTGCACACAGACCAAAAAATGCCATTGAGCTGAATGCAAAACCTCAGCTCCTGCTGCCAAGAAGTTTTCCATTTGCCTCCTTCATTCCCTTTGGAGTCACGCTCCCTGAATGTAATATTTTCAAGAGGAGAAAAAAAAGTCCTTTGAACCTTTTTTTCCTCCTTTTTCTTGGATATTAAACATTTCCAGTCAAGCTGAACTCGCAGGAGAGTCTCTGAAGTGAAATGCTCCAACATCACGTCCCTCTGGGAACTTCAGATTCCATTTATTTCATGTTTTTACTCATTGAAGACCATGTCTGAGAAGGTGTCAAAAGCGTTTTCACTCACACCCAGCTCCTCAGTCTGGCTGTCCTGTGAACTGGAGGATTTTCCTACCCCCAGCAAACCAAAGGACACGCTCACATGAATGTGTCAGAAACCTGCAGCCTGTTTTAAAATTATGCCGAGGTGATTAAAAATTAACAGTCACCGTGATGAGGATGGATGTTCTTCCCAGCTTCCCTCTGAAACCTTAATGTTCAGTGATTCTGAATTTGATTCCAAACTGTCTCAAAATAGTAAAGAGCAGGACAAATCACAGCTGTCACTTAATGAAAACCTTAAAAAAAAGCTCTTTTTAGCGACCAGTCGTTCTGTTCTCCTGCAGTTACGAGTCGCCCTTTATTTACACCACTGCTTGTTCATTTCCAGGCAGACAGGACATTTGCCCATTCCTTGTTTCAATAAAGACTACTCCATTTTGAACTTTATGTCTACATTAACATTGTGATACTGCAAAAAGAAAGTCTGATTTCACAGATCAGAACTGCAGCAAGACAAGGACAAACAGAGACAGGGGTTGTTTTCTGTACAAGTGCCCACAGTTTTTGTTTTTCAAGGGAGGGAGGAGCTATGTGGCCCTGTTCCCATTTAATCACTCCAGTAGGAGCCAGCAACAGTCAGATTCCGGTGGCAGTTCCTACATGGCCACCTTCCTTGTTTTGTCTAGTCAGCCTGCAAGCTCACTGAGGCATGGGAGAGCCCCTCAGCAGCACCCAGTAAAATGGAGATCCCAGTTTAGTGTGGGTCTTTAAGGGATTCATTAGCCTATAGAGTGAACAAACAACAGCAGAAACAACAAAAAACGTCAAAGCCAGCTTAAGTTGAATGAAGAACTTTAAAAATTCAATCATGGAGGAACTCATGCTGGATGTGCAAACCCTCAGCCCCCCATCCCATGTGCATGCATCAAATCCAAGGATGGTATCTTTTTTCCTGCAGCTCCTTCCACCTCCAAATCCACACAGGTTGCTCCCTCCTCTACTCCGCTTGCCTGCTTTGCACCCATGGTCCAGCAGCTGCCTCCACCATGCCCCAGAATAGCTGGGAACATCCCTCCCAAGGCTTCTGTAGGTCTGGGTGCTACATGTGCTCAGCCCGTTCGGCAAATGCAGGAGGCTGAAGTTTGCTCCATGAAAATGTATCCTCACTGGCAGTTTTAGCTGGTAGGTCATGAGTCCCTAGCTAGCATATGTGAGCTATGATTCAGAGGTTTCAAATTCAACAGAGTTGGGTAGATTTTGACAGGAAGGGCACCCCCTTCTCCTTTGTCAGCCCCACCTCAGAGACAGAAGCCCACCTCTTGGATTCTTGTCTCAGTGCAGGGATGCTGGAGTATAGAATCATAGAATCATGGAATAGTTAGGGTTGGAAAGGACCTTAAGATCATCTAGTTCCAACCCCCCTGCCATGGGCAGGGACACCTCACACTAAACCATGCCACCCAAGTCTACAGAATCATACAATAGTTAGGGTTGGAAAAGGAAAAGTCACAAGGGAAATATCAAAGGAAAGGTCACAAGAACTTCTAATGTGGGTAAAGCAATGTGTTTCTCATGGTCTTGCTTTTAGAGCTGGCATAACCATTCTGACCAAAGTTTTCCAAGAAATGTTTGGCCTGAATTGGCTCTAGTAATGGAAAACATTCATTACTGTTAATAAATGGCTGTTGCCATGAGCCTCACCTAAAGGTACTCTAAGTTGGAGTAATGATACAGATGCCATTTATGACTTATCTAGACTGCCCTAATTTCTGAGAGACAAATGACTATCAAATTGGCTCTACCACCCACATGTACACTACTGGCTTACTGCAGATCTCAGGAACATTACAATGCACACACATGCCACACCTCTGACATCCAAAATAACTGGCAGGTTGGGTGTCCTGACTACCCACAACTCAGCAATCTGTTTCATCTTTGCTGAGGACATTGGCTTCTGCACATCTTGCCCCACAGTCACACACACTACTCCAACCACAATGTTAGGTGGCTACAATGCCATATATGAATTTGGTTTTATGTTAACTTGGTAATGTTGGCACCCACGTTGGAACAACTCAAACAAAGTTAGGTTCTTCGCAGACAGGCAAGTATGGACCTACACTACCCAAGGAATGCTGCTCTCCAAACAGGGTGACACTCGTACTACTGTTAAGCTTTTACATTTCAGTTAGCAAAGGTGGCCCTCAACAAGTAAAAGTCCCTGGCTCCTGAAAAATCACTAATGGGAAGCACAAGTACTTAGCATTTCTGAGAATCAGGCTAAATTTGCAACAGACTGAAGGTTAGGGCCTGGCACCAAAACAGGCCTTGCTATCCAGATGCAGTATTAGTCTTTTGTAAAGAATTTGTACTGCCTTTATCCAATTTCCATTCTTAACTATGGCTCTCAATGCAATGTGTTCAAACTGCCTCTACTTTTTTTCTGCCAGGCACTCCTTCTAAGCAGAAAGATTATTAAATTCATATTTTTCTTTCTCCAATGTCACAGCTGCTTTCCTCTTTTGAAGTGAAGTTTTCTTCTGAAAGGGGATTTTGGGAAGGAAAGAAGAAAGCATTTATAAAGATTGCATTTTTTTTTTTTTTACTTCTACAAAATCTTGCATGGCAAGAGTCCTCACAGAACATGGGAAATCTGCCTGACTGCTGGGATCTGATAGTGATATCCATGACCACCAATAATAATGGCATCTGTTCTCAACTACTGGAACTCAGAAGTGGTATATCCAGACTACATCTTTGCTGAGCTTTTCATAGCAGCATCACCTGACTGGTCCTGCCAGCCAGAAAACAAACTTGTTGAATTTACAGGAGACAACTGCATTTAGCTTTTCTTCCCCTAGCTTCCTGCAGCTCCCACAAATATCACTGACAATAAGAAACTTGGGTTTGTCACTAAAGCAGGCAAACTGTCCTGAGGTCACTCAAGAACCAGCCTGGTGACTCGTGCTGTGACTCAGGACCTGCAGAGGTAACTCTCAGAAGAATATAAATCTTGCCTCTAACTCAAATTCCAGGTGAAGTTTTCAATTCACCTGCAAAGAGCTTTTGGCAAGCCACTCAGGAGCCCAGCTTTACATCAAAGTCTGGGGCCTTTCAGACTGTGTCTTCACATCCTGCTGCCTGCATCCTCCCATTGCAGCAGGACTACCCTCATGTTAGCTAAAGGACACCCAAGACAATGTGAGGCTTCCACACCTGGGTTAACTTTCCTCTGAACGCAGGTACTCAGAAGCCATTTCTCCAGTCTCATTTCTTAGACTATTAAATTGCTGTGCTTTCATTTTTGTCCACACTCTCTCCACTCTCTTCAACCTCTTTAAAGCCAGCCTCTCCACTCGCCTGTTAATGGGCCCCCCAAATTCCATGCTGTCTCTGAACACCCACAACTGACGAGTCTTTATGCCAGTTCTTGGTGCACTGGGTGAAAAAGCCATCATGCTCTACCACTCTTATTACCACTTGCCATCCAGCCACTTATATAAGCCTGTGACCTCTGAAATAAAAAGAGTTTGCTTGCACTTGGGTAGAGCTGGTTGTTTGGAAGAGAACTCAAGAGAGGGAGATGATTGAAAAAACAGTCACAGAAGCAAGCTTCCAGAATGTCTTTTTGGTTTTCCTTTCAACTTTGCTATTTCCTCTAGCCAACCACTGGTTCCCCATCAAAGAAAAAAGTTTCAACCGGCAAAGTCAGCTTAATATTTCCACGTATCCTCCAGCAGACAGGACTACTATGGCACATGTAATCATCTACAGTTTTGCTAAGCACAGATCAAAAGACATAAGTAACTGGAAAACATTTACCTTAGGTTGTGCACGTTCATTTAAACTTGCTACTAAATGTATAAATAGGTCTAGAGAACCTGATATTTCTGACATGCCAATTATACTTCTACTGTTGTACCCCACTCATTATTAAAAATAGCTTCACTTTAGACTGAGAAATTCATGCTTTTCTTCTTGTACGTGGCTTTCTCAAACGGGTTTATTCTCACATGCAGTTGAGGGATGTTTTAACCCACTGTCTTGGTTTCAATGTGTTTGAAAGCATCTGGATGAACATGCGGACAAGGGAGGGGGGAATGCTTTCCTGTGGGACAGCTCTAGAGGAGCTCTAGAGCAGAGGTTTTGCTCCATTTAAAATAATGCAGCAATCAAGAGCGATTTATCCCATCACAAGAGTAATTTTGGGAAACGAATGCACACTTCTGCACTCATAAAAACTGTCCCAGGCTAGACCATCCTTTGGAACCCCACCTGGTGTTTTAGGGGTGATTCTTTCCCAGACCTGTGTCTTGTGACAAGCTGGATTTGGAAAATACGCCACAGGACTCAGTTGCCATAGCAAGCTTTTGAGCTCCAGAGAAAAATACATGCTGTGGCTGCTTCCCCTCAGAAACGCAAGAGGAGAAAAAAACCTCCCAATGTATACCTTACTCAGCTGTAATGTGGGAGGCCTGTGTTTAATGACCTATCTACCACCTAGTAGTAGTTCCTGAACCAGAGGTCAGCATCCAATGAACATTCTAACTACCAAGCTACAAAGCTGTGACATTTCTCTGTGGCTGAGGACCCTCCTCCAAAACCTCCTGAATTCTTCTGAAATCAGTACTGTCTCAAAAGGAGCATGGAGCTCCTCCATGGGAGCCAAGTGCTTCCGTGCCCCAACACCACATAACTTGCTAGCTCCCACTGCAGATATAGGGCCTCTGGTCAGACACAGACATTGCCTGCCCCATCAAAGGAAGGCAGCAGGCCTGCAATTCCTCAGTCTTCCTCTCCGAAACAAAAGTTTGAAGGACACTTTGCAAGTACAGGAGTACAGAGCATCCACCCTCCCAGGTGGGAGATGCCAGCTGGGCTCTTCCCTGGGGAGGCAAGTCTAGCACTCAGGCCTTTCTATCCAAATGATCCATCCTTGATGTGCTGCAGGGACAGACACAACAGTGCCCTCGGTTAAGAAAGATAGCATCTGGGTAAACCTCAAGAGAGCAGTCTGAAATGAGAATGCCTGTCTCAAAATAGCACTTCTCTAAGAATGTGGGATCCGGGAAACTTCCCTTTCCTCCATCATTTCCCCTTCCCTTGCTCACAGCTTCCTGTTCCTGGATAGCATCATTACTACATGAGGAGCACATCCCAGGGACTTGACCCCTTGAAGATCAGGTTTTGTGGTGCTCATTGTCAGTAAAAGCCAAACGTTCAGAAATCAGTCCAAGTCACAGAACTTGATTCTAAAGTCACTGAATGCTCAAAAGGTCGGTTTTGAGATGAATGCAAACCTGGGTCCATAGATTCCTCCAGCAATAGGACATTTAGATGAGGTATTAGGAAAAAATTCTTCACTATGATGGTGGTGAGGCACTGGCACAGGTTGTTCAGAGAAGCTGTGCCTGCCCCATCCCTGGCAGTGTTCAAGGCCAGGTTGAATGGGGCATGGAGCAACCTGGTCCAGTGGAAGGTGTCCCTACCTATGGCAGGTGGATGGAACTAGATGATCTTTTAGGTCCCTTCCAACACAAGCTATTCTGTGATTCTATGATTCTTATGACTAGGCTCCCCTCCCTGGTCAATCTAATTTTTTTAACCAAATTAACAAGCTTTTGATAAAATTGTAGGGAACATTACAGTCTTTGTGACAGTTCGGGATGGCTTGTAAATCATCTACCAACTATAAGTGGAATATAACACAAGTCATTGTAATGCTTTATGAAGAAGGCACACGTTGCTATCTTGCAACAACCATATGTTCTGCTGTTTGTATATATCTGTTATCCAACCCTTACATAAGCCATTGATGAAATTATCTTCACAGGGCAAGAGCATTTGTAGCACGGTTGAGTTGATCAAAATAAAGTAACGAAGAAATGAAGAAGTTTTTTTGCTGAGCTGGACTGGCTGCTCGCCCTCCTGAGCCGCAGCTGCAAGGAGGAGGGAGGGTGCAGACCTGCAGTTAGCTGCACAACAGACCACTTCAGAGAAGACAGGGAATACAGACATTTGAGGCTTGCGCTACATAGGAGAGGGCAAACCAACTGCACTTTCGCCGGTGCTGGAGAGAAGGAAAGGTTAGGGAGGGGATTGCTTTAATGGTCTGGGGAACTCCTTAGATGTGACTTACACACACATGCCTTACACTGCAGCAGGCAGCCTATACGAGCTGGGGCAGGTCAGGCTTGCCGTACCGAGGGGATGAGCTGCCGGCAGCCCCGGAGCCACGGTCCCCGCCCGGGAAACCAGCGGGGCAGCACCCAGGCCGCTGTCCAATGCACGGCTGTAAGCCGGTACCTCTCCAGCAGCCGTGCCGACCCGCAGCCCGCGCGACCAGCGCCGCCGCGGGCAGCCTCCGAGGGCCATGTGCCGTGTACTATAGGCACAGACTCCACCTTCCCCGGCTCCCGCCCGCCCCCACGCATCCAGGAAGGGAAAAGGAGGAGGAGGAGGAGGAGGAGGAGGAGGGAAGGGGGTGAAAGGGAAAAAAAAAAGAGAGAGGTTGAAAGGAGGGAGCTCGCCGAGACCCACCCTTCTCCCTCCTCCTCCGGGCTGCTGGCCGGGCTTTTGTTTTCCTCCAGCTCCCCGTTTCCCACACGTGATTGCCGTGTTATTGCACAGGGCGCTCGGCGGCGCGGCTGCACCTATAAATACGGAGCGGGCGGGCGGCGGGGGCCCGGGACAGCGCGGCGCGCCCGGGCGGAGGGTACCCCCGCGACAACCCCATGCACCCCGGCGGGCCGACGGCACCCATGTCCCGCCGCCCGCCCGCCTAAGGGGCAGGCAGCCAGAGCCAGAGCCAGAGCCCGGCCAGCGAAGAGGGGAGGGGGAGCCGGCCGACAATGGCGGCGGCCGCCACCGCCGCCAGCCCCGGCAGTCCCGCCGCCGGGCCCCTGCCGCCGCCGGAGCCCTGCCCCAGGAAGGGGCCGCCGCCGCCGGGGCCGCTGCAGCCGCCGGCGGCGCGCAGCGACCCCCGCCGTAGGCAGGCCGCGCTCTCCTTCCTCACCAGCATCTCCCTCGACGGGCGGCCCCCGCCGCCGGGCAACGACGGCTCCGCTGCCAGGCCCCGCCAGGCCCCGCAGCCACCGCCGCCACCGCGGCTTGGCAGCCCCCCGCGGGTGCCCGCCGAGACCCCCCGGGCCCAGGAGGAGGAGGAAGAGGAGGAAGAGGAGGAGGACGCCTTCGCCGCTGTGCAGGTGCCGGCCGCCGCCTTCCTGGGCGCCTCGGCGGCGGGCAGCCGGGGCCGCCTCAACTCCTTCACGGCAGGGGTGCTGCCGGCGCCCTTCGGCCGCACCAGCCCCCAGGGCCCCGGCGGCGGCAGCGGAGAGCTGGGGCAGAGCTGTTCCGCGTCCGCCTTCGAGCTGCAGCGGTCCCGGTAAGGCGCGCCGCGGGGACGGCGGGTGCGCGGGTGATGCGCGGGAGGGGCGGGCGGCCGGCTCGCCCGGGGTGTGGGCAGCGGCAGGGATGTACGGGCGGGCAGGGCAGGTCGGTGCGCGGCGGTAGCCGAGCCGCCCCGGCACAGCGGTTCTCCGCGCCTGGGTGTGAGTGACCCAGAGTTTCGGTCCTGCCAAGCAAGGCAGGCTTGTGCAGCCGATCGTCCCCGCAGCCGGGGCAGTTGTCCCCACTTTCTCGTGGCTGGTGACGGACTGAGTCCGCCGTGCTGCCTGTCTGACAGGCAGGGAGCCAACCCCGAACCGAGTGCGCTGCAGCCAGGTCTGCAGCCCGTAGAGGGGAAGGAGACCTTTGCATCGCTGTCCACGGATTACGGTGTACGCGCATGGTGTAACCAACATCTTGCTACCTCCCTAAATAAGCTCGCTATCTGCAAGCACGTAATGTTCCTCTGGGATGTTCCTTGCGGCTGGCTACTCTTTTGCCTTTTAATTCCCAAAGGAATAATCTCACCTGCTCGAAAATCAGAGACTTTTGGCTAAGAAGGTAGCAAATATGTAAAAATGTACGAATGCATGTGAGTAGTTGCTCCTCGGATAAAAAACCGTCTTCCTTCACTTCTTCAACGACACACTCGGGTATCAAAGGCTGGGGTTGGGGAAGAGAGCCAGGGTAGAAGCTGGAGGAAATGACTGCTCCACAAGCCCACGGTGCTCACCCCTCCCACATTCCCCATTTGCCACGCTCCTTTCTCTTTTCTCCCTTGGACAAATAGGTAGACTTTGAGTCACATGATACTGCAAGGGTTTGTAAGGGTAATTGAGCGTAGCCACCTGTAGAAAAGTCCCTTCAAAACCAATCAGCTTGGAGAAATTGGAGGTATCCCAGGAGAAAGTTGTCTTAGCTGTGTGCCCCATGACTGCTGGCTTTTCTGTATTCCATCTGGATTGTATTGGTGGCTTTTTTGAGCCTCTTTTCAGGTGCTGGGGTGGGGGAGCCCCACCTTCCCAAGTAAAATGCCTGCTGGTGGGTTATCACCCATCTTCTCCCAGTCATGTGTCTCAAAACAATTCCTGCGGTGACAGCTCTCTCATTGTTCCATGGATCACCAGCACAGAAGTGTGACACACACGCGCTTGTGTGCTCTAGTTTGTGACATGGTTCTGCGCAATGCTTGAGGGTGAGAAGTGACCCAACAGACTATGATTTGGAAATTTCTTTTCTACTCTTAAACTTATTACTTGGTGGGAATGCGCTTGGCAGTATTATCCTGCTGTTCAAGAGACTGGATTCTCCTTTACCTTCCAGTTAGGGAGTTCATTATTGATGCAGGATTCCTATGTTACCTTTCTAGATTCCAGAGGATCCTCCTTGGTTTTCCTTGCTTGCAGGCTTTGATCCTGCGCTCAGTCCTGGGAAGGGTGCTCTTATCTCACATGTATCACTTCTTCCCTCAGCCCTTTGTCGTTCTGTCATTGTTTTCCTTTTCCCCTGTTTCTTGATATCTGAATTCTTCCTTCCCCAACCAGTGCTTTTTGGTTTTAGTCACATGAGAACAGTTTGGAACTTCAGAGGGAAAGGTAATTACTGTTCTTATTTACAACCTAGAAATCCAGTGTCATGCAAGTCCAGCTGTGCTGCTAATGTGCAAGCAGGCTGTGGGATAGCTCAAGTCTATGGCAAGGGGAAGTCACCCAAGGAAACCTTGTCGAGGTGCTCCTCTGGTCCTTCCTTAGGACTGTGTATTTTCTTGTGGTGTAAGATGTAAGGAAAATGCTGGTTTTCTCATGCTCTTTTGTCTTCTTGAGAGCTACATTCATCTGTGGTGGAGACCTTGCATTGCCCCACTGACAAATGTGAACCTCTCCATTACAGCTGGTGCAGGACAGCTCCGGGTTATGCCCCTAGCTTTGCTGGCTGCCGTGATGCTGCATATGTGCAGCCTGGGGCAAACTTTGGCCTGCCTTCAGTGGATTCGTTTCTGTTCTGGAAAAGGTATATATATTTAAACATGAGGAACAGACAGCTGAAGACCACAGAGGTTGCATGGAGCATTGGCTCATCATCTCGGTGAAAAGATGTGGTAGGGGCTCTGATTTCTGAGTTCACAGTAGGCTGCACAGAAGATAAATCACAGGCACGCACAACGCTGGCACAAGCCCAAGAACAAAGGGTTTGAGCAGACCTTCTGCTGCTCTCTTAATGGAGAGGAAGGAGCCAAAAGCCAGCCCAGGCGTGGCCTGCCCTCTCAACGAAATAGGGTGGAAGTCACAGCAGCAGCCCGGCAGCAAGCATTATCTCACCTGAAGGAGGATGCAGGGAAGCAGAGAGAAAAATCAGATGGTTTTTGTAGTTCATGTGTGCACCTGTTGTCTCTCCTCCCACCCTTGCCCTCTCCTTGCTGTGGGCTTCAAATTTTTGATGCCTCATTTGATAGACTTGTCCTCTGTGCTGAGACGTGTTAATTACAACATGAAGCCGTTTTCTGTTACAGTTATCAGGCAAGACAGGCTGCCTTATGGTGTTGTTTTTATTTAGTTTTCAGAAACCATTGTGAGCATATAATCAGAGTTTCCTGGCTTTTCTGTTTGTGTTAGCAGTTTATATAATTGCGTACTAGTTTATATTTAACAAGGTTATCATTAATGTGGTTTGGGTTTGCGCTCTTATGTGTATTCACAAGAAGCACACGATACAGAAAAAGAACATGGAGCTTCTAGCTGCTCGGAGGCTAGCATATAATTATATGTAAAGAGAAAAAAATACTCTTGTTCAGAAGTCAGCCTGTTGATGCCAAAGGTTCTTGTCTAATGCAGGAGAAGTTTGTTTCAGTTTTGTGGTGAATGGGTGGCTGAGGACATGAGGCTGCTGGAAAGTAGGGCCAGGTTCTGCCAAGTTTCCCTTCATGTCAAATTATAATTCCTTTTAACAGCTTCATCTTAAACCAGCGAGGAGCTATCTGGAGCAAGATTCCAGCAGCACTGGTTTAAAATCATTTCAGATCCTGTAGATCAGGTGATGGTCCCAGTTAGTTGTTTTTGTGTATACCTTGAATCCTTGTTACCATAATTTTCTTTGGGAAAAATACTGCTGTTTACATACGTGAAGTTTCCTTCTCTACATAAGGCCTATTCCAGTGGGCATGTGGTCAGATACAAGCATGTTATTTTTTGTGTTGTGGAGTTGTTTTTTTTTTGTTTTGTTTTTGTTTTTGTTTTTTTTTCCTTTTTTTTTCCTAAGGAAGCAAATCAGGGATTGGATTTGGAGTTTAAACATCACTTACAGTTGCATTTGTCTGTGTTGCTGTGTCAGGCTTGAAGGCAGATGGTGGGCAGGAGAATTCCTTCTGGAAGCAGCTGGTGCTGGGAAGGAAGCAGAAAGGAGTATCTGCTGAGTAATTGGTGGGGAGAGGTTCACTCAAAAGGACATTGAAGTTATCATGGTCCAAATAGATGTTTCTTCAGAATGTATTCACCTACAAGACAAATCTCATTTCCTGGGTAATTCTGAAATTAATTTTTGATTAGTAAAGCTTGTGAAGATTCAATTTGTTTCTGCCTATTATAAAATGCAGAGCTGCGTATGGCCTCCATATTCATCTTCTAGAGAGATCACAGAATGGTTTGGGTTGGAAGGGACCTTAAAGATCATCCTGTTCCAGCCCTCTGCCATGGGCAGGGACAGCTTCCACTAGACCAGGTTGCTCAAAGCCCTGTCCAGCCTGGCCTTGAGCAGTTCCAGGGATGGGGCAGAGATGCAGTGAAGGGGGATGCTGGAACAGTTAACAAGTCTCACAATGCCTCCAGGATGTTGCAGAGGAGCTGAATCCTGCTGTTCATTTTCATGGTGAAAGGCTGAGAGGTCAGAGCCTGATCCTCCATGGCCTTGGGTGTGCATGTAATACAGGCTCAGCCCATCACAGAAGATGCCTCCAGACTAAACACGCTGGAGACAAAAGAAGAATCTCTCAGAAACAAGTGTCTTACAGGCAGGGTCCTGAAAGGGGCAAAACAAAGAACTGGGGGCACTGTCCACCCTGCAGGGTCATCGCAGAATCAGGAGCTGGCTTGTGAGCTGCTGGAAGCATATGGGACCTTTTGTGTATGATGGAGGCTTTGCTATTCACTGAACCTAAAGCCCTTCAGGCAGCCCGAGTTTCAGAATGGTGTATAAAAGAATAGCGTGAAAACAGCGATTTAATGGTCTGAGAAGTGAATGGGAAGTACATGTGCTGAACTAAGTCTTTACATAGGTGTGTGACC